CTGTGTATGCACAGGGAGACAGCTGGGGGGCACAGGAATGCATGAGAGGGAAGGACACAGGAAAGAGGTAACTATGGGGAGGAAGTGGGAGGGGAGCTGTTGCATTGTGGGAAATGGCAGTCAATGTCATGACACAATGTGTGTGAGCTGCTATATGGAAAGTGAATTTGCTCTGTAAACTTTTACCCAAATCACTATAAAAATTTAAAAAAAGAAAAAGAAAAGCTTTTGGAGGCACACGAGGGAGGAGCAAACATGCAAGAAGACTAAGGGGCCCCGTGTCTTGCACGTCATCCCATAGTAGGTTAAGAGCTGGGGAGGGGTCTGACTCCCCGCCCTACATCAGGGGGCCTGCTCAGCAACCATTAAAGTGCTTACATTAAGTGCGGGGAGCTTCACCCATGGCTTCTGAGGGTCCTGTACATACAAGTTCTCCCTCCCAAGTCAGTGAACTCTCTGGAACTAGCACAAACTCCCTTGATTTGAAAGGTGAGGACACAGGTGTGGAGAGGTTCCATGGCTTGCTTAGAATCACAACCTGAAATCGAGTTGCCCCCTCTACATCCTTTCACCTGCATCGGCTTCTCATTTTAAAATATCCAGAAGACAAAAGAGGAAAGAGATCCTAGGGACAGACAGCAAGGCCACAGCCCCTTCCACCACAATCCCCTCCCTGGAGGCACTCACCTTGCACCCTGCGACTTTCCCTCCTGTGAAGCCCTGGTGTGGCAGAGGGGCTCTGGTCTGTGGTGTCCTGGGTCAGCAACCCCTGCAGCTCCTCAAACAGCTAGAAGGCAAAAGACACAACACTTGTCTCAATGAGAGATGGTGATAGGCCCCAGCAGATGGGAGGATTTTAAGTTTATGAAATATGAATATTGGGGCATAACAAAATCCTAAGGAAAACAGTGAATATTCATGTGCTTTCAGTTATCTTAAGAGAGAAAATGTTACTCTCAGTTGACTTCCCAGCATACTCTTCGCCAAATGCGTCCCACCTTCACCACCCCCGCAACAACATCCGTCCTGGATTTACAATTCACTGCAGCCATTCATGCCCTTAGCCAGTGTCTCTATACAAAGTATTGTTTTGCTTATTTTGAAACAATATATAAAGGGTATTCTAGTCTATGGAGTCCCTAGGTGATACCAGTTGGAATTGCCTTGACAGCAGTGGGTTGGGTTGGGTTAGGTTGGGGGGCAAAAACTGTTAAGTGCTGGGCTTCTAACTGAAAGGTTGGCAGTTAGAATCCACCCAGAGATGCCTCAGAAAAAAGGCCTAGAGACCTACTTCCAAAAGGTTATAGCCATCGGAAACCCTACAGAGCACAGTTCCGCCCTGACACACATGGAGTCGCCATGAGTCAGAATCAACTCCATAGCAACTGGTTTTCTCCAGCATGTGTATTCTCCTACAGCCTGCTTTCTTCACTCAACTCTGTATTTGTGAGATACATCCTTGGAGAGGTGTGATTAATGGTGTTTATTAGCCTGGGTTTGCAGACGAGAAACTGCAGCTCCAGGAGGCTGAGTGAGGCTAACTGCAGGTCATGTTCAAAGCCAGCCTTCAGCTGGAGTTCTGCCTCCAAATCCCTGTTCTTTCTACTGTACCTTTCTGAAAGACACAAGTTTTCTTGCAGGATCGACTGGATTTGGGGGTGTGGGGTGGGGAAGGATGCAAGGGAGAGACACTCTTCCCTAAGAGGCACCAGGACCAATCTCTGCTGTGATCCAGGGCTGAGGAACAGGAAGCCAGGAAGGCATGAGCAAGATGCTCCAGGCCCCACAGTGCCTCCAGGTGGTGGGGAGAGCCACAGCATTCGACCATATCTGCATTACAAGGCACCTCACTCCCAGCTCTGCCCAAGAACACATCCTTCAAGGCTTTGTCTAATTTCACCTTCTCCCTGAACGTGAGGCACTTGTAGGCACATGTATCTGCCTTCCTGGCTGAGCTGAGAGCCCCCAGCGGGCAGAGGTCCTGTCCTCAGCACCTACAAACTCCGCAGTACCTACACGGTGACACACAAGCCCGTGCGTAATTCATATGTGGGTATGTAGAATCAGGGAGCTCTGGTGGCACTGTGCTTGAGCAGCACTGAAGCTAACTGAATGGTTGGTGGTTCAAAACCACCAGCCTCTCCATAGGAGAAAGATACAGCAATGGGCAGATTTATAGCCTTGGAAACTTTATGGGACAGTTCTACTCTGTCCTACAGGGCCATGATGAGTTCGAATCAACTTGACAGCAACATGTTATATGTGGAGTCTCTGGGTGGTGCAATGCTTCAAGTGCTCAGCTGCTAACTACAAGGCTGGCAGTTTGAGTCCACCCAGAGGTGTCTTGGAAGAAAGGGCTGGTGCTCGACTTGCGAAAGACCAGCCCACAGTTCTACTCCGACACACAGGGTCGCCGGGAATTGAAATCGACTTGATGGCAACTGTTTTTTTTTGAACATGTGTCCTAGAGCACAACTGAGATTCTCATGGCCGTGACAACAGCAGCTAATATATAAGGCTTACCCTGTGCCAGCCAAAGCTACAGCAGCTTTCCTGCTACAAACTCAATCCTCACGACTCTAAAAGGCAGGGACTACAGTTATTCCTAGTGAGCTCACGGGGCTCAATGGTTAAGTGCTGGGCTACTAACCTGAAGGTTGATGGCTTGAAGCCACCAGCTATTCCATGGGAGAAAAGATCTGGTCATCTGCTCCCATAAAGATTATGCCTAGGAAACCCTACGGGGTAGTTCTACTCTGTCACATGGAGTCACTATGAGTCAGAATCAACTTGATGGCACACAACACTATTGTTCCTATTTTACAGGTGGGGAAGTTGAGGTACAGAGAGATTAAAGGACTTGCCCAAGATCACTCAGTGTAGGCGGCAGAACTAGAACCTGGATCTGGAGTCCGTGCACTGAACAGGAGCCATAGAACCTCCCCACAATGAGAGAAGTCACCCTCAGGGTGGTGTCTGGGGAGGTGGTGGTCACCCTGGGCTCCCAGACCCTCACCTGAATGTTGAGCAGGAAGGCAGACTTGGCCTCTTTGATGACCCTCTGCCGCACCTCGGGGCTCATCTCCAGCGAGTTCATGCGGGAGCGGTAGAGTTGCTTGAACTTGGTGGCGCTGGCGATGTTGGGGAAAGTGAAGAAGGCCAGGCCTTCGCCGGAGCTGGGCAGGTCCAGGGCCTTTTGTGCGATCTTTTTGAGGACCTGGCCCCCAGACAGGTCACCTAGGTAGCGGGTGTAGGCATGGGCCACCAACAGCTCAGGCTCCACGCGTCCCACCTCGTGGAGCCGCCTCACATAGCTCCGAGTGGCTGCAGTGTAGGGGATGGTCTCCTGCCAGTGGGCCCCGTACCAGAAGGCCATGTCCTGCTCCAGCATGGCTCTGCGGTGCAGCTCTTCCGGGAAGTAGAGGGGCATGTAGACGGGGTTCTCCTTGTTGCGTTCAATCTCCTCCTCCAGGGCCACATAGATGTGGTACAAGGAGGCCATCACCAGCTGAAGCCAGAGCGAGCAAGTTAGGCCACCCTCCACATACAAGAGCACCCCCTTCACTTAGGAGAGGGCCTCCTTACCCCACCCACACTGGGCTCCCTGCCTCCTAACAGCTCCTTAGATCCTCTCACCACACAACAGCCAGAGACACTGGCACAAAAGAAAACTTGACCAGGTACTTTGCCAGCCTAACGTCTTTTACCCACTGGGTAAACCATGCAGCCTAACCTCAGGAACTAAGGCTCAGAGAGGTGATGAGACTTCAAGGCTGCACAGCTTGTAAGAAACTAAAGTCAAGGCCAGGTGTTGCTCGGAAACTAGCATTGTCCTGGAGCATGGAAATGCCTGCATGAGAGTGCTTAGAGGAGGTGGCCTGGGCTCCTCTGATCTCTGACCTCTGGGTGACCATCTGCAGGGAACAACTCTCCTTCCTGAAGGCCTACTCTGAACCCGACCACCTCTGGACTCTGGGCTGGAGGAGCAGGTCCCAGCCCAACTTGGCCTGGAGAGCTCATATTACACATTAATAGCTCTAGCTTGAGTATGAAGGACAAAGTCAAGATGTTTCAGTTGAGATTGATTTCTGAGGCAGCTAATTCATGGCAGACCCGTTCCTTTGACAGGGCAGAAAGCCAGGCAGCCTGGGCTTTTGAGTCTGGGAGACCCGATTCTAACCTCAGCTTGGCCAGCCCTCAGCTTTGTGACCACTGGTGAGATGTTTACCCTCTCTGGTCCCAACTTCCCTCCCCTTGAGCACATGAGATGCTCCGAGATCTGTGTGACTCCATGCAAGTCAAGCCTTGGTCCCCTCCCCTGCAGACAGGAATAATCAGACCACATACTGAACTGGGCTGCTGTGAGGTCCAGCAAGATGAGAAAGGTCAAGCACAGGGGACAGCCTGCCACTCAGCACTCATACCAGAGAGGCCACCTCCATCAGCGTAATCTAGGGTCCCTGCCCTTGGGCTCAGGGTTCCCTCACAGATCTTTGTGCCTACTTTGAACTTGGTGGCTTAGAAACAAGATCCAAAGTCCATAGTCACTGGGGCCAGGGTACTCCAGTGGTTGCCCCCCACCCACCCCAGTCAAAGTACAGTAACCGTGTGTGCATGTCATTTTCTTGGCGGGGAGGTACTCACATTATGAAAGAGATGGGCTGTGAAGAGTGATGGGGAACAGCTTCCCGATCCCCACTCCCTGTTCAACTGGAACAAGCCTTTGGCCAGACTGATGTTTCAACACTAACACCCGCCCAGTTCTTTGTCAAGTGCACTTCCTTCTATTTCAGTGAATGTTCACCACAACAGTGCTGGGTGTAGCAAAAGTCAGTGCCAAGCAAGAAGTGGGCACTTAAGAAAACCCTGCTGCTGAAGTTCCACTTTGCAAGTGGAAAGGTGACTCTGAGAGGTCAGGTGAGAAGCTCACAGTCTTGCTGTTAGGAGATGGTCATGCTGGAGCTCGAACCCAGACCCATTGCCTCCAGAGGCAAGTTAGAACTAGGCCAAGAGCAGGAGCTCTGGAATAATTTCAGCCTTTTCCACTGACTTACTGTCTGTGTGACCTCCAAATAGTTACTTAACCTTTTTGAGCCTTCCTTTCATCTTCCTCCTCAAGGTTGAAGCACAACTTAGAGATCGTATGTGTAAAATGCCCAGCACGGGATAGGTGCTCAGCTGGCGGTACTGCTGCCCCAGCCCCTCCATTCCATACATGGCAGCCTGTGACGCTGCTGTATGATCTCAGGTAAGCCGCCTCCCCGCTCTGAGCCTCAGCATCATCAGCTGTAAGATGACTCCCTTGGACACACCCATCTGGTCCCTGGGCATCCTCAGCCCCAATGCCCACTGAAACCACAGACCTTGAGCCCAGCCACACCTGCCACACATTCCACCAGAGTTGGTCCCACAAGTCCACATACCTTAAAGCCCTCTCGGGTCACCTGGCCCTTCTGAAAGTTCCTCATGAACTCGGCATTCTCTGCCTGGGTGTGCACCTCCTTGGTGGCCTCCTTCAGGGCCTCTGACAAATCCTGGGGCATGCTGTGGAGGGGAGGAGAGGAAGTAAACAAGGGGAGAGCTACAGACAGGGTTTTCCCCACCCACCTGCCTGTCTGCACACCTTCAGAGACGGTGGTTTTATCAGAGTGTCAACCAGATGCCCCTGAGTCAGCTCTGACTCACTGACAAGCCATGTGCATCAGAGTGGAGCTGTGCTTCACAGGGTTTCTCAGGGCTGACTTTTCCAAAGTAGATCGCCACACCTTTCTTGCGAGGCGCCTCTGGGTAGACTCAAACCCTCAACCTTTGGGTTAGCAGCGAATGCATTAACTGCGCCACCCAGGGATTCCTATCAGGATGTGCCTATGGAAAGTTCAGCCTCCCACTCTAACACACAGGCCTCGTTCCTACCTGCATTACCACGCAGACCCTAAACACTCCTCAGTCATTATAAGACCGTACAACATACTCCCCAAAGTCTGCCACTTGCTCGCTGGAGGACCTCCGGCACATTGTCTCCCTGAACTGTAAAACGAGGAGCCTATGAGCTGTGTGTCCCTGGGTCGTGCAAATCATTTCTCCTCAACTAACCTAAAGGTTAGGAGCGCTGGTAGCATTGTACCTAAGGCACCTGACTGCTAACCAGAACGCTGGTGGTTCAAACCCACCAGCCGCTCCTGGAAGGAAGGTTGGGCAATCCTACTTCTGTAGTGATACTGCCTCGGAAACCTAAGGAGGGGTAGCTATGAGTCGGGGCTGGGCACATAACAACCACCACCACCTAAAGGTTAGTGGTCCAAACCCACCCAGCAGAGCCACAGAAGAAAGACCTGGCAATCTGTTTCCATGAAGATGGCAGCCAAGCAAACCCTACGAACAGTTCTACAGTGTAACCTGTGGGGCTGCCAGGAGCTGCAATCTACTTGATGGCAACAAGTTCAGTTCTTGTTTTGTTTTAACAGCTGTGGTGTAGCTGCTGCAGGAGAAACCCCAGGTGGGTGAGAACCAAACACTTCTCACCCAGGCTGGCTGGCCCTAGGTATCCGAGATGGAGCAGAAAGCACCTCCCCACACAGCTCAGAAGCTGGACACCCGTTCCTCACAGGGCCACGACCTATAATGAGCCAGACAGTCACCCCACATGTGCCAGGTAAGTGAATCACCTTCTTCTCTCCAGCGATCCCGCCAGCACAGCTCGGAAGTGGGACCGGCAGGATTCCAAACCCAGCTCCTGCCTACTCCAAAGCTCTCGCTTTTAGCACCTCTGCTTTGTCGCTTCGGGGTCCCTGGGGGCCACAGACCTGGCTCTGTCTCGTCTCGAAGTGTAGAAATGAGAACTAAGCCCGGAGGGACCGGCGCCCCGCGGACACGCCCCAGGAAGGGAGCGCCCTTCCGCGCCCCGTGTCCCGCCGCCCCGCGCTCACCTGTCTGGCTGCGGGCGCTCCATCAGGCCGGTGGCGCACGGCTCGCTCGGTACTGGCTCGGCGGCGTGTGAGGACCGAGAGGCAGTGGCAGACCCTGACTGTGCCGGCAGCCCAGCGCCGCCGTCTGTTATAGTCTCCGCGCGCGTCACGTGGCAAACAGACAGCTGATCTGAACCCTCTGGCCAGACATTGCAACACCCGCGGGCTCGCGTCCCTCCCGCCCCGGCCAGCGGTGGCGGGGGTGGGGGACGGTCAGATGACCCGAGGAAAACAAAGCTCAGCCACAGGATGCCTTGAAAAAAAACTCTGCAGGAAATCCCTGAGCAACTGCCGGCCTGGGTTTTGCCCCTTCCAGGAACCCCGCCCCCCACCCAGTGATGGAACATCCCAAACCCCCAGGAACTTCTAAGTTTCTAGAAAGCTAGGGGTAGGCTTCTCAGAGCAAGAGGTGTTAGGGCTTACCCACCTCAGACCTCGCAGTTTCCTCCTTCCCTGGGTGGGGAGCCTGCCCATAAAATGTCACCTCTATCCAGAACCCAGGGGCCTGTTGTTTGTAAACTGTCCTTCCCTTCCACCCAAATCAGTACGTGAACTGTACTGTTTTCCTCGTTCATCCCACAACCGTCCTGTGAGGTAGATCTCTCCCATTTTGCAGATGGAGAAACGGAGGCTTTGGGAGAAAAGGCATGCCCAGGATCACACAGTACAACAGGAAACCAGGGTCCAGATGCTGTGATGAAACCAAGCCTCTGCTCCCTTTCAGCCATGACCATTGTCCAGCTGGGAGAACCCACCAGGTACAGGTGGGCAGTGGGTCCCAGCCAATCAGAGATCAAAGTTCTGCAAAGGACCAATCCTCTTCTCTGAGCTCTTGCTGCCAAATTGAAAGAAGCTGAAGCAGAGAGGTTAAGCTAGAGTTTTGAACCCAGGCAGCCTGGAGTGTAAGCCCTGACACAAAGATGCCAAAATTTCCTGAAAGTTTCTTAGCGTCATCGCTTAGAATGCAGCAGGTGGTGAGAGAAGCCAGAGGAACAGGGCCATAACCACTGGAGCCCTGAAGCCACCTCCAAGGGGGCTCCACAGGGCCACAGCCCTCACTCTGTCTTCAAGGAGAGTGAAAGATGAGAACCAAGAACAGGTAGGGATGGTAGAAAGGCCCATTCTGCCGAAGGGTGGCGTCTGATGGCTCACACGATCCAGAGATCAGAACCAGAACTGTAGCTGCTGGAACATTTAAAAAGTAACTGCCAAAAACTTTCTAGAAATGAGGGTTGTTAGGACCCAGTGCCCCATTAGAATGTAAGAAAGGTCCAGAAGGACAGGGACTTTGCTTAGTTTTGTGAATTTCCGGAGCCTAGAACAGTGGCTGGCAGATAGAACACATTGATACCAATGGATACAATGACTGGAAGCCACAAGGTCTCTTTCTGGGGAAAATGATGATATTGCTAGGTTGCCAGAAAGGGCTGGAACCAAGCTACAATTGTGCATCATGATCCTAGCCAGCATGTATTAAGCACTTACTATGCACACAGCCTTCATGTGTGTGTCATTCGGTCCTGATAGCAGCTCTGCAAGGTACTTAAAATTGTCATTTTCAACTCCATTTTGTCCATGTGGGTACTGAGGCTCAGAGAGTTTGATTAATTTTCCCAAATCACACAGCTAGTGATGGCAAAGCCAGGTGTGCTAGCTAGTTAAGGTCGTGTGTCAACCTGGCTGGGCCATGGCTCTAAGTGGTGTAGCAGTTATGATGTGATTATCCCCCATGATAAGATGTGATGTGAGCAGTCAGCTGAAAGGGAGTTTCCTTTCCAGTGTGGCCTACTTCCAATATATATGGAAAAGCTCTGGGAAAGGTCTCCGGCTTTTTGCTCCGGGTCCTGCATCTGTCTTTCCATCATCTGAACTTGAACCAGTGGCCTGCCCTATTGCCTGCCAATCTTGGGATTGTTGCCTTTGCTGCCTGTGAACCACTAGCCTGTTGTTTTGCCTGCCGATGTTGGGTTTATCATCCGCCAAAGGCATCAGGCTGGTACACTATCTTGGGTCTGTGATCTCTTGCAGCTGACATCTGACCCACGGACTTGGGACTTGCCAGCTTGTACAATGTGTGAGCCATTTCCTTGAGATAAATTCCTCTCTTTCTCACCATATGGGTGTGTGTGTGTATATATACACACTGAAACCAGAGTCCCTGCTCCTGACCACCATGCTACACCATCCCTGGCATAGCAGTCAGAACATAACCAGCCAGGATCATCCATAAGCTTAGGGGAACAGAGTGCTAAAGTCTGAAAGCTTCCTATCTGCAGCTGCAGACCCTTCCAATTTAGGGACCCCAGAAAGTCACAGCTCATCTGGTCTGATCGCTTCTTATTTCACATGGGAGCAGGGGGACATGAGGAGTGACTTGGAGGGCCATGCCTCAGTTGGAAATGGAGCATTCAGTAACCTAGCGTTCTTGGCTTGCTCTCTGTTCCAACTGTTTCCCTGGGAGTCCCAGACTTAGCTAGACCCCAGCCCAGACACAGGCCGTCCAGGGTGCAGGAGGAAGGTCAAAGCTGTTCCGGCCTCTCCTCTGGTCTGGGATCGAGTGTGTGGCCCTTCTCCATGCTGATTCAACTTCCTCACTTCCCCTTCTCTTTCCTGAAGCAACTAGAATGATCCAATGTTACTCTTTCTCGCCCTGTGCTGGACTGAGTAATGGCCCCCAAAGATGGCCCCGTCCTAATCCCTGTGAATGTGTTTCTTTACATAGCAAATGGAATTTTGCAGATGAGATTAAATCAAGGATCTTGAGATAAGGCGATTCTCCGGGATTATCCATATAAACCTAATGCAATCACAAAGCTTCTTGAGAAAGGGAGGCAGGAGAGTCACAGACACAGAAGGTGACATGATAAGGGAACAGGGGGACCCAGAGAGATTGAATACTGCTGCGGAGGTCTCTGGGTGGCACAGATGGGCTTGCTAACACACTGGTTGATAGTTTGCTCTGGTGGCACAAGGCCTAAGGCATTTGACTGTTAATCAGAAGGCTGGTGGTTCAAACTCACCAGACACTCCTTAGAAGAAAGATGGGGCAATCTACTTCTGTAAAGATTTACTGCCTTGGAAACCCAGTGAGGGGTCACTATGACTGGGGATGGAGTCAATGGCAGTGAGTTAGTTAGTTTGGTGTGACTCTGAGGAAGAAAGGCCTGGCAATCTCCTTCCATAAAGATCACAGCCAAGAAAACCCTGTGGAGTCGTTGTAGTCTGTAACACATGGGGTTGCCATGAGTTGGAATTGACGGCTGCTTGGCTTTGAAGATGGAGGATGAACCATAAACCAAGAAGTGTAGGCGGCCTCTGGCAGATGGAAAAGGCAAGGAAATGGATTTTTCTCTAGAGCCGCCAGCAAGAGTGCAGCCTGCAGACCCATTTAGGACTTCAGACCTCCGGAGTGCCAGAGAGGAAGTGTGTGTTGTCTTAAGTCACTGAGTTTGGGTAATTTGTTACAGCAGCAAAAGAACACCAATATAGCCCACCTCCAGGGACAGCTGACTGAGTCCTTACCTCACCCTGGGGCAGATTCTCAGCTTTGGGAAGCAGAGAGCGGATGGATGGAGAGATCTGAGGGTTCTCCCTCAGCCACCACTGCTGCCTCTCAGCACCATGTCCAGCATCCCGCCATTAAAGCTTAATTCCGGGGGGATAACACCCCCCCTCAGCTCTGGGCCTGCCTTTCAGATTCAAATGCTCAAGAAGCTGGGTGAGAGGGCAGCTCCGCCTTAGTGCTAGAGATGCAAGGTGGGATCCTGCCCACCTTGACAGAGCGTGGTGCTCAGGACTGAGGAAGCTCAGGAAGTAGGGAACTGGCCCAGGAAGGGGCTGGAGGCACAGATGCCAAGTGGTGCTGGTAACTGGAAACAAGCTCTGCTGGAGGTCTGCTCTGAGCCAAGCATGCTCACAAGCATGGACTCATTCAATCATTCAATCCTCATTTAATCCTCAGCAAACCTAGGAGGCAGGAGTTTATCCGTGGTGGGCAGAGTGTTGGCCTCAAGGACGTCCATGCTCTCATCCCCAGAACCTGTGACTATGGTACCAGTTTAAAAACACAAACAGCTCCCATCGAGTCAATTCAGACTCATGGTGACCCTATGCGTGTCAGAGTAGATGCTTCCCCAGAGGGCTTTCAGTGGCTGGCTTTTTTCAGAAGTAGGACACCAGGCCTTTCTCCCAAGTGCCCCTGGGTGGAAATAAACCCCCAGCCTTTCACTGAGCGGTTGAGCACATTAACTGTGTACCACCCAGTCGATTACGCTTCGCAAATACAATCAGCGTTAACCAGTTGCCATCTGAGTCGATTCAACTCATGGTGACCCCTGTGTGTCAGGATAGGACTGTGCTCTGTACAGTTTTCAATGGCTGATTTTTTGGAAGTAAATTGCCAGGTTTTTTTTTTTTCCAGAGCACCCCTGGGTGGACTAGAACCGTCAACCTTTTGGTTAGCAGCCAAGCTTTTTAACCATTTGCATCACCCAAACCCAAAAACCGAAACCCGTTGACTTAGAGTCAGTTCTGACTCCCAGCGACCCCCTATGTCAGAGTAGAACTGGGCTCCATCGTGTTCTCATGGCTGTCCCCCTGTCATCTCTATGGAAGCAGGTCACCAGGCCTTTCTTCTCCCAGGCTTGCCAGCCGGGACTCCCTGAACTTTACAATCCAGATCTGAAAAACATGGCCCAAAAGACTGGCCTACCAGCGCTGCCATGTGTGGCTCATGCAACAAATATGTATTGAGCACTTACTATGTACCAGGCGCTACTCTAGGTGCTAGGAGTACAGGAATGACTAGAACAGATCAACATGCCTGGCCTCCTTATATGCTTATATGCTATTGGGAGAGACAGCCAATAATTAGCAAATGTAATAACTAAGTGAATTGTATAGCATGTTAGAAGGTGTTAAGTGCTATGGAAAAAATGGGGTGGGTAGGAGGGACCAGGAGGGCTGGGGGAGGAAAGTTACGATTTTAAATCACGTGGCTAGGAAGGTTGGGCAATCTACTTCCATAG